TGACCAGCTGTTTTTAGAGCTAGTAAAAATTCTCAAGCTCACATTAGGAAGGTTTTCAGTTACATGATCTATAGCTACAGTTGTTAGAACACTTGGCATGGCCTTTAAAAATGAGAGAATTGTTTTTGTTGAGTAAAGCACCAAAGCTCTGAAATAATATTTCACTGGACTTACAGAAAATGTGTTTGAACTTTCCTTTTAATGCCCAAATGACAGGCAATATGGTAGGCAGGGAGTTTCCAAATGTGACTTAAAGTGATTTCCATTTAATCTGTGTGAACGTTAGAAATTTCTATGCACTTGTAAGGGAATAACTTGTACCAAATGAACCTTGACCAATATCTCTTTATCCACACTAGTGTGCCATCTCACCTCACCCCAGACTTGCCTCTGCATTGATGAAGTGCACATGCAACAGCAGTGTCACCTTAAATGGGGAAACTAGCCAAGTTTAGCCAAATCCTAGCAAGTTCTGCTCTTAACTGTGCACTGCCTAATGTTTCTTGTTTTCTGGGCAGTTACCAAATATCATCTTGTAAATACCAATCTTGTGTACCATGTTGTGTACCATCAGTCTCTGCCTGGCAGTTTATACAAACCTCGATGACAGAAGTGAGCACAATAAGAAGCACGTTTGGATTATGCTGATAGAGAAACTGGGGCTTATAATGGTGCAGTGGCTTGTTGCTCTCTCAGATTACTTCAGACTCCAGTGGGAAAATAAATGCTGAGAGTTAAAGGAATGTGTGAAATTCAGAAGGGTTACAGGAAAAACTAGCCTGCCACTCTCAGAGCTGCAAAACTAATGAAGTAAGGCTGGATGGTTGGATTTACCACTAAGATTTATTAGGCAGGATCATTTCACAATTCCTGAAACAAGGTGAAAGGCCCAAATGCCAGTTTTACCCTTAGCCCTGCTTCCTTAGGTGCCCATGGGGAAAGAAGGTCTTGTGAGAGCACCAAGATGGGCTAGCCTGTTTTTTCCCTTCCCTTCTGGTGTTTTTGCCAAAAGGGGGAAAACCTCTGTCCTTCCTCCAAGGCCTGTGACATGGTCATGAACAGGGAACAGCTAATGGCCCAACTTTGGTCAGGTCAGGAAAGAAACTCAGACCCTGGCTCTGCTCTCTGCTAGCTGGGAACACTGCCAGCATGGAGAGGGGACAACCCTGCAGAGAAGGAGAGATTACTGGCACTTCTCAAATGCCCTGTAATTAAATCCCAGCCCTACTATTTACTCCTTGAAAATCTTTCCTGGCTATATGCTATAGTCACTCTCTCCATATAAAAATTCAGAAAATAAAGTTACAGAGCTAAAACATATAAGCATAAGTAGTGTCAAAGAATCTGAATGGTGTTTTTTTTCCTTAGGAAAGAAATGCCCATTTCTTTGAATATGAGTGGACAGAGGACGCAAAATCCATAAGGAAACCAAACATTCCGTTTCACATTGAGGACATCACTCTGTGTCTCCTCTCAACCAATATTACAACTAAAAGGATCAAGGAAGTTAAATATCAGTGAGGCTGGTTGAGATTTTGTTGTGGTTGTATAGTGAGAAATATGGCATATTCCTGCTTTTTTTGGACTGAGAGTCAGATGGAGTGTACCTAACATTTGTCGTGGTACCACTAGTCAAGTGAAATACGCTGGAGTGGAAGTAGGGGGGAATTAGGAGGAATAATTTGGTCCCACAGCCATGACTTATGGGCTGGAAGCAGGATAGTATGGAGATGTGACAGTTCCCTGACAGTTACTTTTGTCCTGCCATAGACAACTGTAACAATTACACTACACTTAATTACTGCACTTAGACTGTGGTAGGCTAAAGCACTCCTTAGGATAGGAGGTGTTAAGAGGCAGAATGCGTTTTAAATTTAGAAAATCCCCTTGAGAAATATCCTTATTTCACACTTATTATTAGCAAAGCCAGCTTTGCAGTGAAAATCTTTGCTTCCATGACTGGAACCAGTGTCTTCAGCAAGAAGCAGGTGTATAGAAATCTCTCGTATGGGGACATCGACGTTCCATCTGCTCTGAAAATCTAGGAGCTGCTGAGTCATCTCCCATGCCGTGTGTATCTGACATAATTTTTAAAGGTTATCAATACTGGGGCACTGCATGCTTAATGGATAGGGGGTTTTATCTTATTTCATTTTCCTCTGAGCCTGAAAGTAAATACCTGCCTGATCCTGCTACTGTTAAATTCAATGACTAAAGTCCTCGTTTGTTCCAGTGGTAGAGGATTTAATGTTGCAAACTTAAATAATTGAAATAAGTGACCCGTAGTGATAGGAGGCAGATATCCAACAGGCAGAAGGTCATTTTCTTCTTAAGCTGTTTATAGGTGTGAATTAAGATGCCTGTGAAAAATGCTTTACCGTTTCTTCCAGATTCACCCGTGTAGCAAAATACATGCAGAGCAAGCAGAGTTTTTAGGTGGAGGACTGGAGCAAGAAATTACAAATAACATTGTGCATCCCACAGTCTTCCACCCAGCAGTTCCTGTTGTGCTGCTTATGGGCTGGGATTTTTGGTATCCTGTGCTCTCTGAACACCTTGTGTGTTGGGTGCCTTTGAAAATTTGGTACTTGTTTTCCTGCCTAATTGGAAGCAGAACTCATTTGAAAATGTATTCGCTTTCCCTCCAGGGATGGTGCTATAGCAAAATACGGTGTATGCTTTGGCTTAATTTAATAAGTCATAATCTCTTCTCATATTTTATTACATTTTAGTGCGAGGTGATTTTTTCCAGAGATGACTCAAAATAATACAAAAGAAAAAGCTTGTCCTGTGAACAAAACATGAATTATAGCTGATAAAATCAAGATATTTTGAAGGCTTGCCAGCACAAAGAATGAACTCCCTCAGATTCCTAACTTAAGAGTAATGTTAGCAACACTAAATTTCCCTAGTAATTTTGAGGTCTGAAGGAATATTAAGGACAGACTAAGGAAATCAGTAGAAAGAAAAAATTTCCAGTGAATGCAAACAATCACTGCAAAATGAGGAAAAGAACAAGGTAATTTCTGCTGTTCTGATGAAGACTCACAGCTTACAGGGCTCTTGGACACACTTAACCTGTGCCTTTTGGATGTGGATGTTGTTATGGTCATTGGGAACTGCCATCTCAAGAAAGTATGTAATGCTGTGTGTGGAAATGTCAGCATAAGCAGAACGAGGTGTTCACTTGGTTTTCTGAGCTGCCTGCAAGGGGATATTGTGCTGAGGCTCTGTAGACTGCACTATCTCACAGCTCCTTGCCAGGTGCTGTTCAAGATGAGAGCTTTGGCTCCTAAAGCCATTTATGGGTGGAACACAGCTCACTGCTGGCTCGGGCTGTGAGCCTTCAGAGTGGGTGTAAACTCAGCAATGCAGCTTAACTGAGCATTCAGAGATTTACACTGTGAGTCCCATATGACTGGGTAGTCTGGTGGTGCTGTTTATTTTAATCTTAAGGAGCATCTTTCAGTAGGACCTTTCTACAAAAGGAAGTGGAACTAATTCAAATAAATAATATATTGGATTTTTTAATATACTGAACTCATATTTAATAAAACAAATAAATTTGCAAAAATACATATATAAAAGTGTGTAGAAGAGCCTCTCTTTGTCCTCATTATTTTCTCTGTTGCAGAATGCAAGAAATGAACTGATTTCAGTGGAGACTGTATCTCGTGAGCTGAAATGAGCCCTGGCTCAGTAAAGAATAAAAGAATGTATGTGAGCACTTTTACATTAAGGCTTTGGACGTAGAGAGTTGTGCCTAGAGTGAAACCCATTTTTGTTAAACAGGTTTAGGCGTGACAGAGGCAATCACACAGTGTGTGAAGCTCTCTGTCTCTTCAGGATGTCTCACACGGAAACTTTTCTCTCCGTGCACGTGACATACAGGCTTGGTATTTTTAGAATGACAAAAGGCTGTTCTCCCTCCATCAGATCATTCATTTTTCTAGAAGCCTTACACCAGAGTTTTCAGAAGGTATCCTGACTCCCAACCTCAATGTTCTCTGCACAGTTTGAGAGATTTATAATCACTGGGCTGCTCTGCTCATGCTTTAGAGATACGTTCTTGAACGTTCCCCCCAATCTGATCTCTGTTGGTGTTTTTGGGCCTCTCCAAAATTGTAATTCTCAGAAATTAGACACCTTAAGCCACTGGCAATATTTTAAAATGTCTGAAGATTGTATTCCAGACTTCTTCTGTAGCCTTGGGCAAGTTTTTAAATCTCTCTGTAGCTTCAGTTTCTTCACCTGAAAAGGAGGGAGAAAATCTGTGCCCTCAGTGTGCTGTGCCACTTAATTCAGGAATGTGAGCAGGAGGTGCTCTGAACTCCTGGGGGCAGAATGCAATTAAGTTACAAAATATTATCAGTACTAGTATTAGTATTAAATAACAATGCATATTTATTCTAAATATACCCTTGTCCTTCTGTGTGTGGTACTATCTAAAAGACCATTCATGCTACAGAGAGACAGGCTCTGTGTGTCGTGGCTCAAGTCTGAGCCTCATGAATGTTTTGCCACTGGCTTGTGTGGGGCCAGAATTTCACTTCATGGTCAGTCTTATACCTGTGTAAATCAGTGCAAGATCAAGACTTCTATATTGTGAAAGTGTGAGTGGCCCTTATTATAAACCCGGAAGAACCATTTTTTTAGCCATAAAATACATTTAAAAGAAGAAAGCCCGTAACTGTGCATTTCTGATAAGTTAAATATTGCTGGCATTAAATATACTTTAGTCTTATGAATAATTTGGAAAGATTATTTAGGAGGAAAGATTAATCAAAGTTCAGAAATATTCCATTGCAATTGCTGTCTGAAATCAGCATGTACTTTCTGAGCTCTTCAGAGGAGTGGTCCCTACCCCAAAGAATTCAAAGCACAAGATGGAAAAGAGAAATCCCTGAAACAAAAAAATAGCCTCACCATATATTTCAGATACTGAGATTGGAATTGGTCAAGGTTGATGGCAGTCTACTAATGACTCTCTTATTCTTTAGGATGATGTTGAAAACGAAGACTGCAACACAAATGAGGTTGAGAGCGGACAAAATTTGATACGAGGAATCAGTTCCCCATTGCCACATTTTTTGCCTGAGAAGTACATAGCCTCAATTTGAGTCAGACTTTTCAGTTCTCCTTGTGTAAGTGTAATAGTGGTTATTATAAATGCATGCATCATACTGAAATGGTAGTGGAATGGATGCTTTCTAGTTCAAGGTCTGCTGCTGAAAACATTTTCTGCTTATTAGCTGTTTGCATGCTGTGATGTCTCATAGTGCTCAGTGAGAGTACTCTTGGGTGCCAAGATTTGCAGGGTTCAGGCCAGAACAGAATGTAAAATTAGGCTCTGAACTGGTACAAGGGGACAAACTGCAGGGGTGTAGATGGTAGGAAAAGTACACTAGTAGTGTACTTACCACCTCCTGATGTCACTTGGAGTTTTTTCCTTCAGTTTGTTGCTGCAACATATAGGTCTAATAAATCACTTGTTTTACATCATCAGCACTATGTGGATCTCTGCTGTGTTTAGCTCACTAACAGTTAATAACTATGAGCCATTTTCTCCTACAAAGAGAGCCACTCTTTCATGGAGAAACTCTTTATCAGCCTGGCAACTTGTGAACTCCTTAGCATTTGATCTGATGCAGACAGTGCTCCTGATGAAATCAATAGCTGCATTGATTGAGTAACAACCTGAGGGACTGGGCCCTGGACCGGGCTAACACAGCCAAGTGATGAATTCAGTGATTGAAATGCTTTCTGTAGAGTTAGGAGCTGTCCCCTAAGACAGGAGATTTTCTGCAGACTAGAGAATTTCGATGTCATCGTATGAACTCTGATATGTGGACAACTCAGCCCTAAATCAATCTTTTCATGCTATAAACATGACTCTCAAAGTTCTCACTGTGACTAAACTCCCAAGGAGGACCTGAAGGTGCTGCCTTCCGTGCTTCCAGAGTTGTGTTCTCCGTTAGGCAGGACATTGGCTCCCTCAGCACAGTGCAGCTCTCTGGCTCCTGTGACAGAGTGAGCCTCCTTGGAGTGACTGGGAACAGCACAATCCCAGAGCTACCCTGAGCTCTGCTACCAGAGCCATTCCAACCCTTCACTCTGACAGCCATAAGGAAAGGCAGCTCTAATTGCTGCAGCTCTCCAAATCTTTTCAATGCCTGTGTGACACTTTCACCTTCTAGTTTTTCAGAAGTAGCCCTGAAAATGAGCATTGTCAACCCAGAAAAAAACAATGTGTAAATCTCCACGGTCATCTAAGGGGCAAATCAAACTTGGAGCACTTCAGTAGCTGGGCTTCATAACGTCTCTCTTTCGTGCCAGTGTGACCAACCTCTGGAGACCTCACAGATTTGTTCCTTGCCTTGGTTAACCAGCTTATCCAGCAGCAGGGCTGGGGTCATTTACACTTTCTAAACTCCTGACCTTGGCTAAAGCCTCACTGATCCCCTCAGCAGAACAACATCCTTTTGCAATACAGATAAAAGGCCTGGTTCTGTGCACCTTTACACTGTTTCTCACTGAGTTATTTTTGACTAACACCAACGTAAGGAAAAGACAGCAAAGATTTCTGAAATGTTTACATGGATTACTATTTTGGTGAGGGGGTTTTTGTTGTTGGGGTTTTTTTTAATTGATACTAATTGATCAATACTTTTTCCATGGCACAGTGAGGATGATATCTACAGGATAACTAAAGCTTTGCCTATGTCAGAAAAATGCAGTGGATTAAACTGATGCATAAATTTAAGGCTGGGTGAAAATTATTCTTCTGATGTATGAGTTTAGCTTAAAATGAAGCTCAGAGAGACAGCACCTCTGGGTATTTTTCTACCCTGAAAAAAAATCACCCAAAAAACCCCAACCCCCCCACAAAACCTCAACCCCTCACCTCTCCCCCCAACAACCCTAACTTAATTAGCTGTATTTTCTGTTTAGTTTGCCACAATTTTTACTTGGTGTGTGGGCCACAGGAGGTGTTCTTAGGTAAGTGCTCAAAGAAGCTTTCTTTTCCTCTGTGGGACCTTTCTTGCCAGGTGATTCAGGTGATACTGTGATAAGCCAGGATCAGATATCCATCTCTGAATCCAACTGTGCCAAAAAAAAGGGTTATTGTCTCCCAGTCCTTACTTTTCTGCCAGCTGTTTGTTAGTATCTCGCTGACAGATGCTATCACATCCTCAGATTGTTTGTGGAGATGTTCAGAAGAGGGTCCTTAAGTTGCTTCTGACAAAATCCTCTCAGTTAGCAAAGAGCTATTACTTAAGCCATTTTAAATAAACCTGTCTTGTTTTGATTGATAGGATTGAGAATGCTTAAAAGATCATCCTTTAAGAGCCTGTTGTGTCCTGTCTGCCTGCTGATCTGGTGGCAGGGCAGGGCAGGTAGCTGGAGACAGTAACCACTCATGAATTTTTGGAGAGTGCATCTGCCCAACATGCCAGGGTAACTCCTCAGCCTGTGCTGCTGGGCTGGGACTCCTGGGTTCTGTTCCTGGTTGAGCTGCTGGCCCAGTACATAGTCTTGAGCACATCACCCATCTATGCCTTGGTTTCTGCATCAAGGCATAATCATCCTCACGGCAGGAGCACTGTGAGAGTTAATTATGGAGTGATTTGTTTCCCTTGGTGCTGAGTTACAGGTGACTGCTGCTACTTCTGTCTTTCATAAGAATTATTTTTTTTTCCTTTCTGATATCTTGAATAAATTAAAAGCTAAATTTGTGTTCACAATGGGAAACTATGCTCCACTTTGAAGAATGTTGTTTATTCTGGTGACTCACCATTAGGAATGTTAAGTGGCCCAGCAAGGAATCCTCCTTCTCAGCCCTCATCAGAACAAGCACACAATTCCCAGAAACAATATTAACAAATATTAAACTATTCAGCTGTCCACTTGGAGGGTTAAAATGTGCTGTCTGCGTGCCTCTGAAATTCAGTTCAACTTTGTATTGCTGGGTAAGGTTCGTGAGTGAATCTTACGTGTATTCATTTAAACTCACATCAGCTTCTCAGAGAGACCAACACAGGTAATGCTGGAGTAATCAACAGCACACCCTATGGATCAGTGAGAACAGCAAAAGGGAAGAGTCCCCTTCTAGTATTAACACAAGCTGGGAACACCTTTTGTCCTCCTGAAGACAGGCACATAAAGCCATTGCCAGCCTGAGGAGCCATCCCTGGCTCACTCCAGTGACAGAGCACAGTCCCTCAAGGGATCATCTTTGTTGGCAGCACATCCCAGTGCAGAGGTGATAATAAACAGTCAGGGGTCATTTCACTCTTGAAGAGAACAGAGCATGTCACTACACCTAAAAGTGCCTGCTAAGGTGGTGCATAGTTGGGCTGCTTCTCAGCTTGGCTGATGTTCTTCCTTACACCACCCTGGCTTTGAAGAGCAGTATTGCATATGTGTATATATATATATATATATATATAAAATCCGTAATATGTTCTGAGCATCTCTTCCAGTGGAATAGCTGGGGTAAAGAGTGCTGCTTATGTGGCTGGAAGAATCTGAAATTGAGCCCTTAAAATGAAAATTAACAACTATTCCTTGGTGATGGCAAAGGGTCAGTGTGCAAAGCAAGTTGTTTTGTAATACTGCTATTGCCCAGGAGTCAAAAAGCTATTTTCAAGCAAGTCTCTTTCCAGAAAATTCTCCCTCTTCAAATTATTATAAGATGCTTTCAGCTCTCCCAAGATGATATGATGGATGGTGAGAAAAGCAAATGAAACATACTGAGTTTAAGCTGGTTTACTGAGTTTAAGCTGGTTTACTGCTTAACTGTATCCTCTACTGGGTTTACTGTTTTTTTATTTTAAGCTGCAAAAGGGTTATTACCATCTTAAAGCTGGGAGCTCCAGTCTCCAAATCCCTATAACATCATGCAAAAGTAAATGGGACAGTTAACTGACAGGCACTGTCATAACTTACCCGCTGGAAGCTCATGCACACTTCTGACACTAAAACCCTGCCTGTAAAGGCACAGAACCAAATCCCATCTTCACCTAAGGCAAACACAGTGTGACCACAGCACTGTGGAGCTGTGTCCACACCACCAGACACAGTTAAGGGCCAGCCCTTACCTTCTCTGTATTCAAAGGCCATCTCACCCTCTTGTGTCTGCCTGAGCAGTCAGAGTGACAGTGCCTGTCATGATTGAAATCTTTAAGGGGAAATATGGAAATACTGGGGGAAAGTTGGGAGACTGGATTTCCCACAGAAGTCCAACCCAATTCCCCCAGTGATTGCAGGATTGGTATTGCAGGAATATCTCCTGTCAAGGCTCCTGCAGATAGGGACCATCCACTCTGGTCCTTGGAGGCTGTCTCTCCCTCCCTCCCTCCCTTGTCTCCACCACGCTGGGGCTCCCTTGGAGCTGTATTGCCAGACATCTGTTAGCTGCTGCTGCCTCTGATCACTCCCCTGCTTGCCACACAGTGAGCAGCTCACACTCCCTCAAGTGACATTCAGTACCTGCTCTCTCTTCCTCTCACCCTGGCTGTCTCCATAGCCACTGTCACCTTTGCATGGGTTTGCACCAGGGTTCCTGCTTCCCCAGCAGGATAGAGCCGGGGGACTGGACCTGGGGCAGGGAGGACAGCGTGAGAAGCCTTTCCCCCTCCTGCTCTGGTTCCAGTGTATCGTCCAGGCTGCTCGTCTGTTTTCCTGACACATTTCTGCTCGCTCCCCACAAAGGCTCATTTTCTCTGGCTGATTTCAGAAGCAGTGGGAGATGTCGATGCTAAGCCAGCGTTGTAAAAGCACACTGAAACCTAGCTTAGACTTGGAGCCTGGCCTAGCCAGATCAGCAGTAAAATTTTCAAAAGGAAGGAGGAAAAAAGCTATTTCCCATCACAGGAGCAGTGGGGTGTTTTCCATGGGAACAGTGATGTTCTGGTTAAGTTCTAAGAACTTTTCTAATTATTAGGCCAAACCAATGAGAAAGCTGATGTCAGCAGGAAGAGCTGATGGGGAGGAATTATAATTGTGTCTGGGGCCATATGAAAGCATTATACCATGTCTTGCTCCAGACTTTGCATGAGTCATTTTCCTCCTGGTCAGGATTTTGTATTGAAGTGCAGACTGGCAGTTGTCTGGATCTTTCCTTGTGCCAAAACTGCTGTGA